CAGTTTGTATTCGTATTGCTTTTTCTCGGCTCCTGATCAGCTTTCTAAGTTTTTTAATACTGCTGGAGATTTACAGGCCGCGTCTGTCGATGTTTATTTACAGTAACTTGGCTTGATGCAGTAAGAGAGTCTGGTTTTTGTAAACGGATCCAAGTTTGTTTCTGTTCAAAAATCAAAAGACGATGATGAGTTTCCTTAGCACATGTTATTGTGTCTTTCTTCTTTAAAATTCTTTTAAAACGTTGGAACTTTTAGCTCGATTTAAGCCGTTGATTCCATGTTTCATCTAAAACTTTTGACCTTCTGAAGGCCGTTGATTACATTTAGTAGGTTATGGTCATACAATATCTAGTCATCACTCCCGATAATTATTTCAGCACCTATGGCTCAAAATTGTCAATCATGTGTCGTTAAAGAAACCCATATCACTCACCATTTAAATACTCCAACATTCATGTCTGCAATCCCTTTGATTATGAAATGTAATCATGCACCCGTGTATATAAACCCATGTACTACATCTCAATGACATACAAGTTCACTCTCTGATAGTGCATACGAGTACTTTCCTCTAAAAAGTCGGCAGCATTTTCACACGAAAGAACATTGAAATATGATATATCAGTTGACGAATCTCATGTTTTGATACAAAGAATAATAGATAAGGTAAAGAAAAGATTAAGATCGAAAAGGCTTAAAATAACTCGTGAGTTTATTGTATCGTAGGGATTCTGCTAATGTTAATCCCACCTTTACGTGCCTTCTCTTACACATTGTCCTGCTTCGTTAAAAGTTTTTTTCATCAGTTAAATTGGTTGATGAAACAGAGTGCTCTGTTAGATATTCAGGATCTTGTAGATATGAATAAGCTCTTCTTAGTTCCACGCAGAGGTGAAAATGAGACAATAGAGAATAACATGAACTGTAACAAACTTTTAATAAAAAAAAACACTTTTGTTATTTGAAGCAAAGAGTTACAAATGTTGTGTTTACACAGTGAGATACACTCCTATTCTTCTTTCTTCTATGTAACAAATTCAACTTTCGAATCTGTAAGCTAACAATTTTATTGTACAAAGTGAATAAATCCCTCTTGCACCTTTATGAATGCTGTTCTTTACAAAAAATCAAGAAACTCCACATGTTAAAAGAAAAAAACCGTTCGTCTCCTCATTCTCTTTACAAGCTCATTGCTCTTGCTGAACCTATTCTTTCGTCAACCTGCAAAACACCCATCAGGTGTCAGAGATCATAATCATAGCCAAAGTGAAGATACAATTAGCAACTAGTAAAGAAACAGATGAGAGACTTGTGTTGGTAAGACACATAACTACTTGCTCTTATTCAACAGACTCTCAGAAAAAGAGTGTCCATGAGTGAGACTAATGTTATCACAGAGAATCATAATGAGTCTATTTTGACTCAAGGAGCAGCCAATAAATTATCTTTACAGTCATACCGTTGATTCTGTACCATCTTTCGACTTGTTCTCGTTGAGGTAGCGCTCAAAAGCACCGTCTCCTCTAAGTATTTTTGCTGTGCATCCACGAGAAGCTTCTGGGCCTGTTGATTCCTCATCTACAATAACGGCATCAATTCTTTCCTCTCCTTTCTTAGCATCTGGAATCTGAATAACAAAATAAAGAGTTAGTAAAGTAGTAGCTGAACAAGCTAAACAATCTTTGCGGTAGCTGAAATACCTCAAACATGGCTTCGGTAAGAATGCTTTCAAGTAAGGCTCTTAGTCCCCTTGCACCTGTATTCTTCACCATAGCTAACTTCGAAATCATCCCGAGCGCTTTCTCAGTAAAATGCAGCTTTACCTGAAATTTTGCAACAGGATTATGCAGGTTTATGAACCAAAAGTCCAAGTTTACACTTAAATATGAATACTTTTTAGATTTAAGTCTTGGCAAGTGTATTACTATTTCATGGGAGCTTACATTGTTCATGCTAAATAGTTTCTTGTACTGTTTCCCAAGTGCATTTTTGGGTTCTACAAGCACCTGCAGGGCAAAAAGCATAGGCAATATTAGCTACCCTTACACATGAGAAGGGTAAAATCAAGGTCTTGTTGATGGCAAGCACTACTCTCGCTTTTAATTCAGTAGGTGCCATAAAGCAGCAACATGATTAGATACAAGCTATGACAAAAGTTCAATTACCCGAATAAGCTGGTCCTCTGTTAAAGCTGACAAGCTAACTAATATGGGAAAGCGTCCTACAAACTCAGGTATAAGGCCATATGCTGTCAGATCGGCACCCTCGACCTGAAATGGAGCCGCCATTTCAAAACTAAGTTCTCTTTCAAGGAATGAGAAGTGCATACATAAGGAAACAGAGACTTAAGAGAATCTATTTTAGTATTTACCGATTCTAGTAAAGATGAAGTTATTGCACCACTGGTTACTCCACTGGTAGCCATATTGGCACGGACAGGAGCTCCAAAACCAATTGATGAATCTTGTCGTCTGGCAAAACATTAGAGATAATGATGATCAAAGTCAAAACAGAATCATTGGTATATTACAACAAAAGGAAGCATAGTGAACTACCTATCCACAATGGTCTTCTCAAGGTCAACAAATGCTCCTCCACAGATAAAGAGGATATCTTTTGTGTCAATCTGTACATCATTGAACATCAAGCAATGGAATAATATGATTAAACAATTCCTATAGATGCGTCATTAAACTAAACGATTATAGGCCAATGGTAAAGTTCTAGCTCGAAACCTGTATATGGTCACCCCGTGGATGCTTCCTTGCTCCCTTCCCTGGAACATTTACGATCTGGAACAAAAGGAAGAAGATCCAACGATCAATACAGAAGCAAAGCATGAATCCAGAACCATTCTCTTCGGGAAAGAGCCTCAGAAGTAACACAGATGTCTATATGTGATGTTGATAGTCGCATACATCAAATGTCATATCAATTTGGTATATTACAAAGACCTTTCAATGAGGATCACTTCAAGAGACTACACTATAACTCGCTAAGCAAATTCCTAATGTCTAGTGAACAATGATTCCAGTAGATGCATCAAAAGGGTAAGAAAGCAATCAACTTACACTGCCTTCCAGTAATTTCAAAAGTGCCTGTTGAACACCTTCCCCAGAAACATCCCGGCTAATGTTTAAACTCTCAGCCTGCAGAAGGCAGAATCCAGGAAGCATAAAGCCCAATTATCTTGTTCTGATCGAGTTCAGGAGTTACCATTGTCTTGGATACTGACCTTCTTCGTTATCTTATCAACTTCGTCGATGTAGACTATTCCCTGCTGTGCTGCTTGTACGTTGAACTTAGCGACCTACAAGTCATAAGGGAGTCTTCTGAAACGAAGTAAGACGGAAAGTGTGCTCGGAATGTTATTCGTGACTAAATAAGAAGTGGTACCGTTAGTAGCTTATGAAGGATTGATTCAACATCATCACCAACATAGCCAGCCTGTAAAGATACCAAACAAAAGCTGGGTCAAAGAGCATAAATTTTCATCTGAATTCAAAGTAGCCATGGAAAGATCTCTAACTCAATGGTTGAAGTGCTGAGAATCATGAACTTATGAGAATATAGGAAACCACAATCTTACCTGAGTCAGTGTAGTTGCATCAGCAATGACAAAAGGAACATTTACAAGCCGAGCTAAAGTCTTTGCGAGTAATGTCTTCCCTATTGTTCAAGAACCGAATGAATAAACCATGTCAGAATCAGCAGCGAGAGTGAGAATGGGCAGTAACTAATACTATATATGATCAGAAACACACAAAACTCATACCAGAGCCAGTAGGCCCCATCAAAAGAACATTGCTCTTATCTAATTCTACGTTATCGTCATCATCAATTGGTTGTGCTGCTGACCTAGTATTCAAAACGTCCACAATGTCAACTTCCAACACAAGCCTTATATCATAAGGTGATCGATCATGTACAAGGATGAGACTAAGCCAGGAGAATAAAAAATGGATGAGAGAGAACCAACCCTTTCTTCATAGAGGTATGATATATTCTCTTGTAATGGTTATACACAGCGACAGAGAGCACCTACGATCAAAGCCAAGACCAAACAATGTCTTAAAGTAAAAAACTGATGGCAGGACATGATCAGAAATGAGAACTAAAAATGCAAAGTGAAAAAGGCAAAACCTTTTTGGCGCGGCATTGGCCAATGACGAACTTGTCAAGCCATTGGCAAATCTCCTTTGGAGTAGGAAAGTCTCTGCCCAAGCTAGCTCCGCCCCATTGTTTAACGTCGTTAGCTGCATCGGGTAACGGAGAAGTTTCCATTTTGACGGCGCCGTTAGAGGCTGGAGCGATGTTATTCGGAGGAGAATCGTTCAAAGGAGGAGGAGGAGGCGGTGGAGACCAATCCTCAGGTGGCTCAGCGCCGTAAGATCTGAGCGTATCCCAGAAGGAAGATCTGAGCTTGTTTCTGTAACCGGAGCCGAGATTGTTGCTGCAGCCGAATCCTTGATTCGTGTCCTTTGAATGTCTCCTGGTGGATGATCTGGAAGTATTGGTGGTGGTGGTGGTTGGGGATTGAACACGACCGATCTCGATGAATGTGCCCTGAAGAGGAGACACGCCGTGAGGGTTGAATCCGTAAGCTGTTTTGCAAGTCGGACAGAAATTAACGGACTGGAAATTGGTTTTGTCTCCGGCGGGATCGGAATCGGAATCATTTGGACGGTGGAGAAGATTAGAAGAAGGGAATTGACGATTGGAGAAGAGAAGATCCATTTGTTTTGAGCAACGAGGGCAATTAGGCTCAGCTCTTAGTTTCCGGCGAGTGACGGGGACCGGAAAATCATCTCCTCCTCCTCCTCCTCCGCCACCAACACCGCCTTGCTCCGATTTGAATCGTTCCTGAAGACGGCGGCGATGCAGAGACGATCCCAATTCCAGTGAATAGAGATGAGAGGGAACAGGTGAAACGGAACGAGCATGGAAAGCTAAGGACTTTAGATTCCTCCATCTCCAAATTCCAGACATTTGATGATTGAAAACAGAATACAATTTTGTGGGTGTGTGTATAACAAAATCAAACAGATACAGAAGCAGGACAAAAAAAGCCAGACATAGACAAGAGAAGAAACTCGAGATCCGAACCAAAGAGATATGTCTGCATCAGCTTCGATGATGTTGTGTGTCTCTATATATATATACGTTTATGTCTCTGTCAAATTTGCGATTCTTGAGAATTAATGAAAGAGCGTTAGGTTAGAGATCAGATCGAGTGGGGAACCTTAAATCCGTCAATTTGGAGAAGAAGAGAGACGAGAAAAACGCAAAGTGAAAGAAAACGATAGACTCGGAGAGAAAAAAGACGAAGCACACACATTATCCATCTCTCTCTTCTCTCTCTCTCTCTCATCACGTTTGGTGAAAGAGCACATGGGGACACGTGTAACCCAATGACTGAGACTACCCACCACGCGCCGTCACGCATGGCGGAGGAATTAGCTGAAACCGGTCAATTCGTCTCCGAAGCGATTTCAAAGTCGACACATTTGAATCATTTGAAGCAAGTTCAGTCCTTTCTCATCGTCGCTGGTCTAAGTCACTCGCCTTTCCTCTGTTTCAAGCTCCTCCGCTTCTGCACTCTTCGTCTCTGTAATCTCTCCTACGCTCGCTTTATCTTTGATCGATTCTCTTACCCCAATACGCATCTTTACGCCGCTGTTTTGACTGCTTACTCTTCCTCTCTCCCTCTCCATGCTTCCTCTGCTTTCTCCTTCTTCCGGTTAATGGTAAACCGGTCTTTTCCTCGTCCTAATCACTTCATCTACCCACTCGTCCTCAAATCAACGCCACATCTCTCTTCTGCTTTCTCCACTCTTTTGGTGCATTCCCACTTGTTCAAGTCCGGGTTTGGTCTCTACGTCGTCGTGCAAACTGCTCTCCTTCACTCATACGCCTCCTCTGTTTCTCACATCACTCTTGCCAGACAACTGTTCGATGAAATGTCTGAGAGAAACGTTGTCTCCTGGACTGCTCTGCTTTCTGGGTACGCGAGGTCCGGTGATATCTCCAATGCTATTGTTCTGTTTGAAGAAATGCCTGAGCGTGATGTTCCCTCCTGGAACGCGATTCTTGCTGCTTGTACACAGAACGGTCTTTTCGTCGAAGCGATTTCTCTGTTTAGGAGGATGATCATCAATGAGCCTCGTGTTCTTCCTAACGAGGTGACTTTAGTTTGTGTCTTATCCGCTTGTGCTCAAACTGGTACGCTTCAGCTGGGCAAAGGGATTCACGCATTTGCATACCGTCGTGCTCTTTCTTCTGATGTGTTTGTTTCGAATTCTTTGGTCGACTTGTATGGTAAATGTGGCAACTTGGAGGAAGCAAGCTCTGTTTTTAAGATGACGAACAAGAAAAGCTTAACAGCTTGGAATTCGATGATCAATTGCTTTGCTCTACATGGTAGAAGCGAAGAAGCCATAGCAGTGTTTGAGGATATGATGAAGTTGAATATCAAACCGGATCACATTACCTTTATCGGTCTTCTCAATGCGTGTACACATGGGGGTTTGGTATCAAAAGGCCGTCTTTATTTCGACCTCATGACAAACAGATTCTGTATTGAGCCGAGGATTGAGCACTATGGCTGCCTAATAGATCTTCTAGGCAGGGCAGGTCGTTTTGATGAAGCATTGGAAGTTATGGCCAGGATGAAGATGAAAGCAGATGAGGCGATTTGGGGTTCGTTGCTCAATGCTTGTAAGAAATATGGTCATCTAGATTTGGCTGAAGTTGCTGTTAAGAATCTGGTTGCTTTGAATCCTAACAATGGAGGTTACGTCGCTATGATGGCAAATTTATATGGGGAGATGGGTAATTGGGAAGAGGCACGCAGAGCTAGGAAGATGATTAAACACCAAAATGCTTATAAAACACCAGGATGTAGTTGGATTGAGATCGATAGCGAGGTCCATCAGTTCTATTCTCTTGACAAAACGCATCCTAAGATTGAGGAGATATATATAGTACTTGACAATTTGATCTCTCTCTGACACTGTGGGGAGGTCCTAGATTTTCCATATTGACTTGACATAGCTGTGACTCTGCTTTTTAGTAGCGAGTTTCTTGCACAGTTGTTGATTTACACTGGAAATGGCTTCAAAGAGTTGTGGAAACCGTAATTTCGTTAATCTCTCCACAGGTGACACTTTGTTTCTTATACCCAAAAGCTGGTACTGTAGTGTTATGTACTCTTTCGTTGTAGTCAAAGAAGAGTTCTTGCCTGAGTTAAAAGCAAACATTTTGTTGCTTGTTAAGAAAGTAAGCTTTGGGATTCCTCTGACTTGTCATCATGTGATTCCAGCAAAGAGAAACTATTATTTTACGCTCTTTACGCTTGTTATAGGATTTATTGCATTTAGAAATAGTTACAGAGATTTTACAAGACATCAAACTCGAATCTGGATTCAAGCAGAACTGAGTTTGCCAGTTTGATCTTCTTGGAACGCAATGTCAACAACTCTTGGACCCTTGACTTTGTCTGCGGAAAGCTTTTTGATTGTGATGGTGAGCACACCGTTCTCAAGCTTGGCCTTGACAGTGTCCAAATCCACATTATCAGGCATCCTAAATTGTCTCCAGAACTTGCCATGAGATCTCTCCACTCTATGCCAATGATCTCCTTCTTTCTCTTCCTCTCTTTTCCTCTCGCCACTTATTCGCAAAACTCGATTTTCCTCCACTTCTATCTTCACCTCATCCTTCTTCATCCCGGGTACATCGAGCCTGATCACATGCTCTTCTGGAATTTCTTTCCAGTCCACTCTCGCTGGAGACAGAGCCAAGCTCTGATCTCTCTCGAGACCTAATGGGATTTGCTCCAAAACTCTGAAAGGATCCGGAAACCGATCTCTCCAGAGATCAGATAGTAGACCGCCGGCTGGAGTATCGAAGGACCCTTCAGTTGTTTTGATGTTTCCGAGGAGAAGTGTTAGTAAGAAAAGACCTAACATAGCAAGAGAGTTTTGCTTCATATTTGGTTAGTGCTCGCCTTTCTTGCAGAAGGGGTAATGGTTTTTACTCTTGATTACTTCTAGTAATGACCTGTTTTGTTTAATTCTCTTCTCTATGAGGGTTAAGATGTAAGTCTGTGGTGAATATATAGACGCGATTTATGGAGTGAAGAATGTATACAGTTTCTTGAACATTCTTGCGTTTCATATGTTTTCTATTTTTACTAAAGTCTTGACAGAGAAATTGAGAATGTTCTAGGTTTTTGTTTCAGATAAGCTACTTTGAAGGGTCTTCTGTAATGTTCCAGACACATCATCACAATCTATTGATGTCCTAAATGCATGGTAATTATTTTGTAGAAGACCCAATACAAAAGAATAGGCCCATGATTCAAGTTTCTGCATTGTGTGTGGTCCAAACAATACTCAAGAGCAAAAAAAAAAAAAAATTGATATCAATACAAGGGTTGAAGTATTTTGTATCCATTTGTTTCAAATGCTCTTTTAAAACTTGTGACACTGTAAATATGCAAAATCACTGCCTATAACTAAAGCCAATTCTTAAATGCACTAAATATATCGTATAAATCCGGTAGAAGCCGTGTGTATTCATTGGTATTATTAAAATTGATAACAATAGTGTTATGTAAAATGAATCAGAGATGAATGATCAACATTCATATGCTTCTCTGTTGAGTTGTCTGATGCTTCACCATCTTTATTGTCAAAAACAACCCAGACCATGCTGATCTTGGTCTCCACTGGAAATGAGAAAGGACTTGTAGATGAGAAACCGGCGCTATTCTTGTCTTGTTTTCCTTCACCGCAGGTGACTGGATCTCTTAGGTTGGTTGAGACAGAGAAACCTCTTCTGCTTCCACTGCTCTTCAGCACAGAACCTGCAGGGGTATTATAGCTTGAGCATTCCTCTAATGCTACTATATGATCCATGGTAATGGCTTGCACAGATGGGTAATCCAAGCTCTTCATCCCAGTGAACCCTCTACACTTTTCATACAAGACGTGCAGATCCTGAATCTGTTGAGAAGCTTTTCTCAACATCTCACAAGCTAAATCTCTTGCGGGTCTTGAAAGATCAAAGAGCATGTTAACCAGCGCAGCTATCCCATCAGAATACGTCATGTAGACTTGGAAACTCTCTTTCAAGATGTTGCCTGTAGCTGCTTGGACCAGGTTATCGATAGGCCAGGCATCAAAAGGTGAACACTTCAACACCTTTGCAATAAACTCTTGGCACTTTGGTAAGATGTGGAACACAAGATCCATGGATTTCTCTTTGTAACGGCTGAACTTTGTACCACCTGACATTACGGGTTCGAGCTTACCAGCTTGGTTGATGATCCATCCAACTCTCTCTTCAAGATAACCTACATAGTTTTGCAGAAATATGAAGGATGGATGATCATGGCTCGTCATGAACCAGCAGCAACCTAGTTGGAGATGACCAGAGGTGTGTGCGATATGCAGTTGCTGCTCGATGCAGCGACTGCTACCACGCAAGAGACGGTGGATGAGTAACAGAGTTTTACCAGCGACTAAGCAGTCTCTTGTCTTGGCTAGACGGCGTGAGATTTGTTCAGCAAGAAAAGGAATTGATCCTGGAGTATTGGAGACAAGGAAGAGTATCTCGTGCATGGTTTTGTCATCAACAGGACAATCATCATGGCTAGTGGCTCGAACCACTGCCACTTCAATGTCAAAAAGGCCTTTTTCATTGTAGTTTTGTACAATAGCTCTGCCAATAGATGCATGATCCTTGGCCTGGCCAAGAACTCGCCAAAGCTTTGCAGATAAATCAAGCCTCATTGATATCTACAGACTAAATGAAACTATTGGATGTTGGAAGTCTTATAAACACAATGTGCAAGAGGAGAAAGTTGCCAATAAAAGAAATAAAAACTCCTAAGAAATAGTGGTGAGGAATCAGATCTTTTTCTTTCAACTTAAAAGTAAGGAATTATCCTTGCAAATATTATTTAAACAGGGCGTTAGGCCTAACGAAAGTCAAAGTCACTTTAGAGAGATGCTGTGAGAGCTTTATGACTAAAATAGAACATCCACAAAACATATCTGCTTTCTCTTTTGAGAGCAGAATGACTAAGGCATTAACATGAGATTGTTTACCAAAGCTGATCATTCACTATAAGAATTGCAGAAATTTGTCCATTGTTAGAATCTTAAGATTCATACCAGAGATAAAAAGGGAAAGTGATTAGTCTCTGTTCACAACGTGAGAAGTCAAGTACTCTACCTATCTCAAGCACACAATTCAGATCCATGTTTAAAATATATTAGGAGTGAGTCAGAATGCACCCACGAGGCTCTCAACTCTTGGAATTTTCTGGATAAAAATGAATAAACAAATTATTCTCAAGAGTCAACTCCATAAAAAAAAGTTATTTCTTTTTCCTGTGTGGGGAAGAAGAGAACCTCATTCTACAAGAATCTGATTCAAACTCTTTTGCTGTTTTTAATGTCCAATATACCTGAGAACATTCCTCCAGGCAGTGACCGTTTTTTTTTCATTTGCTCCATTGACCAAAATGTTTAGCGTGCAATAGACGTGTAAGTGCACTCACTGTAGCTAACATAGAAACTGATGGATACTAAGCCCTAGTGGTTTTGATCCACGAGAGCCAGCTCTACTACATTGCTCTACGAAAAAGTAATTTTCATACCAAATTGCCACTTCCACTTACACCATCAACAAGATTGATTATAAAACAAGAAAACGAAACAAAAAAGGAAGAAATCTTAATCCAAAGTGGTTCCAACTGTATTAGCTTCCAACACATTCACAACAAAAGGGGATGAAAAATTACCGTAAATAATTTGAACAGCCTGTAGTAGTATATTACCTCAAATACGCATATCACCTCAAATACGTGACTAATTTTGGTGTGATGTTAGAAGAACAATTGTTAGAATGAAAGCAAAATTTCACTTTTGTTTTTTTATACAAAATAAGGTGCATACAATGGTAGTCACTGAGCCGCAGTAGCTAACCCCAATACAACACGTCCAAAGGCCCAAGCACCGTTTTTCACATGGCGATACATCCCAACTATTTGAGAGGCTTCATTCCCTGAAAACTCAGAAAAAAAAAAAAACGGTTCTTCACTTTAGAAACTATTTAGCATGTTAAAAGTTCGAATAACAGTGATGTCTTACCAGACTATATGCAACAGCTACTAAAACAAAACCTATAAACAATGCTGCAACCACCGACTGTGAATAGCTAAGTAACTGTAGAAGAAAGGAGGGAGATGGCAGAGAAAGCAAGACGAGCATGCATTTCATGCACATCTACACACAGACTTGTTTCCAAGAGGCAGAACCATAGCAACATAGTTTCAGATTGCTTCATCCCAAGATAAAAATCTAATAGAAATTAAAAAACAGGACCTTTCAATGAAAACAGAGAAACACTTAGCAGAGAAGGAAGACAAGCATGATTTGCATGCACATCTACACACAGACATGTTTCCAATAGGCAGAACCATAGAAATAAAGTGCAGGTTGCTTCAACCCAAGATAAAAGTCTAAGGAATTAAAAAGCAGGACCTTTCAAATGAAAACAGAGAAACACTTTGCGCTATATGACTAGCTTATTGGCATAATCCTGATACCAAAGTATTTGGCTTTTGGTATAAAGAGTAAACAGTACCTTGGCTGCCCTCATGCTATTGACTGCCATACGAAGACCATCATGGGAGAGTATCAAACGAGATAAGCCACCAGTGCTCAAACTGAAAAAAATCAGACATAAAGATGACTCAAAAGTTATAAACAAGAGACAATGCATCAGTGAATAACAGGTTCGAAAAGGAATTAAGTAAAGTAACCCCAGCAATTTGGCAGAATCAGCGATGGAACCGTCACAAGCAGAAATAACGTCAAGCAAAGCTTGCATCCCCTGTAAAAGATGTACTCGTGAGTAAAAGGAAAGATGAGAGTAAAGAGCTAAATCGAGCAAGAGAGACTCATACAGGTACAAATTTAGCATTGTTGGGACCAATCTGTGAACCAGAAGAAGAAGTTCTGATGGTTGACTTGGGAGGTAAAATCTGAAGAAGCTCTGGAGGAGGAGAATATGCGTCAATGTCCACTTTGTTCCTCACTGGAAAAGAAGCAAAGCAAGTTGAGAGAATTTAACAGTAAAGAAGAGAGAATGAAATCAACAAGGAAAATTTGAGACCTTTGATGGCGAGAAGCGTGCGAAGCCGGTTAAGAGCAGAAGCCCGGTTCTTGTGCTGTGAACGGTCCTCGACGGCCTGAGCGACGATTCCGGTGGGGAGATGTTTAAGTCTAACGGCGGAGTCTCGCTTGTTCCGGTGCTGTCCTCCAGGCCCTGAGACTCTAAAGGTCTCGAATTTGCATTGCTTCATCAGCTCTTCATCGCTAAACTTCAAGTAATTGGGGATCTGAACTTCCGAAACAACGATTCCGGTATCGTTCGCGCCGCCTAAATCGTTACCGCTACTTCCACCGCCGCCGCCGCCGCCGTCGGAGGATGAATAGCGGAGAAACGACCGTAATCGGTAGCTGAATCCATCGGATAGAACAGTACGGCGATAGTAAGTTACATAAGACGGAGACGACGGAGACGGGAGGCTGCGACGGAGGAGAAGGGGGAACCTAAAGAGAGCGGCTACGGCCATGATCGCCGTGGCAGAACAACCACCGCGACGGGATTGGTTTCGAGGAGAGAGATGATGTCTCGTAGTCTCGGCCCGGCCCATTATGAATTATCTAGTGAGCCTGGCCCCGGCCCATTATAAACTATATAGCGAACTTGGTCCATTTAGGTAACTGCCAGTGATCACCATAAGTACATAACTACCATGTAACGTAATAAATAAGAAAGAGAGGGAGACATTTTTAGATACCATACACTGTTCTTTTTCTCTCGTATCTCTTCGGAAGCTATGACGAACGGTCAAACCTTTGATGGTATCTCTCTCAGCCGTCGCATCCAAACGGTAAGATCATCTCTCTCTTATTACGCTGGTTTTTCTATAGGGACTTTCACTTTCTTTGCCCTTTTTCCGCTTGCTTTGAAACCCTAATTTTACATTCTTGTAACCCTTTTGGGAATGTATATAATTTTGTATAAACTAGTTATAAATTTTATAACATGTGTGTGAATTGGCAAATAGTTTGTAAATTTTCACTTTTTGCTTTTTGTGCTTATTATTGTGAATGATATGTCCCGGGCGGAATCATGTTTTCAAAACGTAAAAAAGCTACATACAATTCAAGCCATGAGTGATTATTGCTGGTGTTGCGTATATGTTGTTTTTATGGTTTACAATTGTTTTTGAAATCCCAAGTTTCATGATTTTGGACCTTGTTATTACGAAATAGGATTTTATCTTGTTTTGTTTTTTGCATCTTAAGATTGAAGAAATCTGTTGAATAGCCAGGGAAAATATCATGGCAATAAGGCAATATACGTGGTATTCTACAAATCGCCGCAAACGGCCAGATCATTTTTGTTGGTATTTAATCGTTGCTATTGTCCAAAATGTGGCCATTCTTGGCATGATGCGACAACATAGCCACTGGTTATAATCGTAGCCACACCTTAGCAACATTGCCACGAAAAAGCTAGAAAACTATCCCTGGACATTTTGCAAATAAAAATTTTGTGGCTTTAGACCGTGACTATTTGTCACGATCTCGTTTTGAACAGATTTTAAATATTTGCTACGGATTAGCTACTAATATTTCCTAACAACTTGCCATGACATAGCCATGATTTTTTTCCTAGTTTCTTTTGCCACACATTAAAAACTGCCACAATCTAACCACGTTGAATCTGTGGTAACTTAATAAATTTGATTTAATATTTATTTACTAATTTTGCTATAATTTATAATTAACAAAAACTAATTGCTGAAATGTAGAAATTAAATTTGAATACAATTAATAACTGAAATTCTTGTAATTAGATTAACCGAAACATTTTTAATACAAAAGTCTACATCAGTTTCAAGCCTACATCAGGCTACCTTACAAAAATATCATTAGTTAAAACCTACATCACCATTAGTGATTTACAAAAAAGAGCATTCCATCAACCTACATATTGTCGCTAATAACTATAATCAAAATATATAACCATTGCAACTTCAAAGGACTAAGATGGCTAATGGTTGAGATCATTTTCAAAATACCCATCAAAAGACTGAGGTTCCATGTCTGCCAAATTCATCAGACTGTTTGCAAGAGGGACTTGCGCTTGACAGTTTGTAGCTTGACAGTTTGTAGACGGTGACTGATGAAAAAATATATAATACAAGTCAATAGACAAAAGAGTGTTAAACGTAAAAAGCATAACAAAAATAAAACAAAACTTTTACCACAAAGTTTTCCCACACGTTCTTTTCATCTCCTCTGAGACCATGTTAAAATTGTGCCATGCTCCCTTCCATTCAGAAGTGTAGATCGATGTGCAATCATCAGTTAGACACTTATCGATCTTAAACCTTCATTTCAGAAAACAAATAGAATATAACAACATGGTAGTATTAACAAAAGCCATTTTTTGAAAACTAAACAATTAAAACTTACTCCATTGTTTTCTTTCTCTGGATGTATAAGAGGCATCTGCACCCGGGATGGTGAAGCTAACAACTCTGCAATGCTGACTTATGGGTAGCGTCGGGGTCGGGGTCGGGGTCGTGGGTGAGGTGCACCAGGTGCAACAGGAGACACAACATGTGCAACAGGAGGCACAGCTGGTGCAACAGGCGCAGCCGGTGGTGCAAATGGCACAGCTGGAGGTGCAGAAGGACCAGCATCACCATAAGAGGTCGTTGTCCTTCGTCCAGCACCTCGGAGAGGTCTTGCAGGCTGCTGTTGGAAAAGGCGACTTTGCATATTAACCTGCATTTTTTCAAATACAAACAAGAAAGATCATAAACAAAGAAAATCCAATACTCAAAGACCAGAAAATCATTCTATTCTTCAATGTCATGCATCTAAACTAATAAAAATCTAAACCAGTCACCGAAGACCACAAAAAAACAACAATCCATTCTAGATTTACAAAATCTTATTCAAATGGGAAACAAAAAAAATACTTAATAGAATTTGTTTGGGTTGCTCAAACTCTCTAAAAATATATTGGTCAAGCAAAAATTTCACTCAAACCAGGCATATACAAACCAAAAACAAACGAGCACATAAAAATATACAAAGTACAGAGAAGCCAAGAACCAACTATCATATACAAAGAGCATAGTCATTTTTCACATAATCCAGACAATAAATTCCGAAAATCAACAAGCTAGAGAGAAGCAAAGAACTACTAGTCATTTTAAACAAAAGCGAACTACAGAGAAGCTTAGAAGCGAAGAACTACTAGTACCCTTTTTCGAAATAGAGGTTTGAACGAGATTGGTGAAAGCTTGAAAATCCTCCAGTAGAAAAATCTAAAAAATGGCGAACTTGAGAGAGACGTAGAAAAAGAGACAGACAGAGAGGGATACACAGAGGAGGAGACCTTACCCAACCGGCAAAATTGTTGGTAGAGAAAATCAAACAGCTGAAATTGCAGAGAGAATCCCAACCAAACAAAATCTAGGGTTTTTGATTCTAAGGAAAAAAAGTGGCATATAACTGAAGATTTTGTTCATAGTGTATATAAGGCCACAATACTTTCTGGCCAAAAAAATAACCTTTTTATAAAAAAAATTCTGTTTTTTTGCACCAAATATATTTCCTCGGATTCCAAATATTTTCAGACAAATTTTTGAAAATTTTAAACTTAGCAACAATATAACCTTAGCCAATTTGTGGCCATGGTAAAAAGTTTGGTAAAATTTTCTAAATGTTGTGCGCGCTAATTGGTGCGAAATGATGGCCACGGAGTTTCCCAGGATAATTTGTGGCAGTGTGGAAAAATCTTCTCGGTCTTTTATCAATCTTGTGTTATTTTGACAAAGAAATTTTTTATAAAATGTATTCCACATATTTTGGGTGCTTTTTTATGATATTTAAGTTGTGTTAAGTGAGAATTCTGATACTATAATGATTAAAAAATATATATGATTATGATCTCCATCATATATATTAAACATATCTTACATTTTGAAACAACAGTTTATAAAAACCAAGAAACAATAGATATATCAAAATATTAAAAAGTATATATATATATATAACTCTAAAATCAGTCTGAATCTGATTCTTCATCATTGTTCTCATCAACAACATTCGAATCTGAGTTATCATTATCATCCTGATCATCATCACCCAAAGCATCTGGTATTATAGCTGGGTCATCCAACTGCAAATTGTCATTTGTCTCCGATTCAACCACGTGGGTGGCAACTTTTATAATGAAGTGGCAATAACTTGATTATGACTATCATCTTGCAATGTGGTTTGTGTGACTTTAGTACTATTGCGATATCCCCAAGGAAGATCTTTTGTAGATGCCCACCATTCTTCATGACTTCGTCTAATTCGTGGATAAGAAATGTAACAAACTTGATCTGTTTGTTTTGGCAAGATATATGGATCATACTTCTGATATTATTTACGAGGAAAAACATCAATAATACCAAATGCGTGTCTTCGCATTCCACGTCCAATATTCTGGTCAAACCAAGTGCATTTGAAAACCATTGCCTTTAATCCAACAACGCCATGATATTCAATCTTGAAAATCTCATTTATGAGACAAAAAATTCTGACTTTTCTGTTCCTCGGATACATACACCATAATTCATCGTTTTCTTGTTTTGACCATGGGTGAAAATATGAAAATTGTATCCCCGCGTAAAGTAAATTGGTCAAGATGTGTATTGACGCTTTGGGCCTTGTACCAATTCAAACATCCATAAAGGTGGTGTATAATCTTGGCTACTGTCATTTATCTGAAAAAATATAAACATTATTAGTTACCTTAATTATGTATACATATATAATTATATATTAATATAATCATTGCTTACATAGTTTCGGCACCATTCAGCATAATGTTGTTCTTTAATGGATATAATTGTGGCCAATTAGCGACAATGTAGATATTTAAATTAGCCAACCACCATGGCTAATATTTGTGGTGAAAAACTCTGTTGCCAAGGTCATTCCATGGTGTAATTGTAGCTAAATAACCAGGAAATACCAACGGCTGAGATTGAGGCCGGTGTTGCGGTAGCCAGGAAAATAACGTGGCCATGTTGTGGCTAACGGCGAAAGCATCACCACAAATATTTTTGTGGCCAGTTTGTCACGAATTGGACATGTGTTAGCCACGGTTTAGCTATAAAAACAAAATTGTGGCTAATCGTGGCAAATTTGTGGTTAATTTGTGGCTACGGATAATATCTTAGGCTCTATCCATGGCTAAAAAATAGATTTTTTGTTGTGCGAAATTCTTGGCCAGACGTTTTTGTGATACCTAGTTCACGTGTTTCCCCGTCAATATATTGGCCAGTGTATTAATGGTAGTTGTTTAGGTTTTTTTATTTTTATGAGAATATATTGTGCTTATTTAGGTTTCAATTTGCTTACTGCAGAACCTTAAGAAACAACTATCTATCAGTGTTCGCAACTGGGGAGAGGTGGATTTGAATGGGACTACACTAACCTTTTTGGTATATGCAAAGAAAGCTTTTGAAGTATCCCTAGCTGATGTTTCAAAGACTCAGCTTCATGGAGAAAACAAACTCTTATTGGAGTTTCATGCTGATGATGATGATGCCAATGAGAAAGATTCTATGACAGAGATAAGTTTTCATGTTCCTAACTCCAACACCA